TCCTTGGACAGGAGGGACTCCCTTGCTGGCTTTCTTTACAGCCCTTTCCTGATCCAAGACTGACAAACCATTCCTCTTGCTCAAGCCTCCTCTGTCCCTAGTGCATCAGCTTTCCATTTGTGTGTCCTGGGGTGCTATCAAACACTTAGACGAAACCAGTGATCGTATCACAGGCAGAGAGAGCTTCCAAACAGCTTGTGTGCATCCTTCCCAGCAATCCAGCAGCCGAAGGGCTGGGAAATAGAGAAAGGAGGTGAATCAGACAGACGGTCCCAGCTGTCATCGCTCAGGTGAGCGCGTGCAGCTGACATTGCAGTGGGGATGGTTTTTAGTATCTGAGTGTGCTGCACTTGTTTACATGAGTATAGCTAAGGTTTATCAGCTCTCTCTACATTAGGCAGAGAATTTGGCCCAGTATAACTGGATTTTTTTCAGTTACTTGGTTTTCTGATTTTTGATCTTACAGAAGAGCTAATTGACCTAGTTTGTTAACACAGAAGATGTCCCTTCTCCTACTGATAAAGGAAAAAGGCTATTGCATTCATTTACTGTCATGTTCCATAGTGAATTGCAGCTTTTAGCCACTTTAGTTTTCCTTACTCTACTTGGGCATCATTAGCAAAACCACTCATCCCCTCCTACAGCTTGTTTACATTTGTTTTACTTTTTATGCTGTGGTACCACTGAGAAATTTAAATGCTAGCTGGTCTTGCTGGATTTGCTTAGTTTGTAGCAAGAGAACAGCTCTGCCTTCCAGGAGCGTGTGGTTTAAATGCACATGGTGTAGGAGGAAGGGAGGATTTCTAGGCCCCCTAAGGTTGTGTGAGGGCTACGGAGTCACAGATGTGACCTTGGAGAATGCTGCTGGATTTGGGAAGTGCCCCCTGCCCTCACTGACCCTTGAATCAGCTTTCCTCTTGCCTTCTGCCTCATTTCAATGAAAATATTTTCCATCTCAGTTTTTATTAAGAAGTTGCATCATAAATCTCTCTTTGCCCCCCCTTGTTTTTGCCACATGCTCTTTCGGTCTTAGCAATATCTGACCTAAGGAAGTGCCCAATGCAGGAAAAGGCGGCAGGATCCCTGTGTCCACCGAGTGCCCTACAGGGCCCGGGTCACAGGAGGGACCTTGCTTAGAGCAGAGGGACTGACTTGAGTGGGAGGCTCCATCCTGTGATCTCTCACCAGTTACTCTTCATTGCTGCTGCTGTTGCTGTTTTTAGGCAATAATACTTGACATAAAGGCTTTTTTTTTCTAATTGCTTACTATTCTTTTCCTGTCCATTAGATTTTGACTTCCTGTCCATTAGATATGGCCTTCTATCATCATCTTCAGTCAAATCTATCTTACTGCTATGAGCAGAAACATAAGCCAAACCTTGTATTTATTCTGTATGTCTGTTTGTATGAAAATTTGCCTTCTGCCATTCTTGAACCCTTGCCAGACTGCAGTTGTGTGTGGTCTGCCTTTGCAGAGACCCATGTTCACACCTCGGTCACCTCCCAAGTGTCGCAGTGCTCCTCTCAGCTGGTGGTGAGGCTGCAGTTACCTGGCAGAACTGAGCAGACTGGTTACTTGGAGCAGAACCTGTGCCCCTGGCATCTGGTTTGACCTCTCTGCTCGGCTTCCTGTTCACAGTGGCCTTCTGAGGATGTTTTGATGAAGCTTTAATTGCAAGTGTGCAATGTCATGTTAATGTGTCCCTTTGGGTGGCAGTCCCAGTGCGTGGCCTTGTGCATCTCTGTCTCCTTGTAGCTGAGGGAAACTCCCTTCATCCAAAAGGTGTTGGATGAGCTGCAGCTAAAATATAAACACGGTGAAGGGGTGGGTGATGCATGTGGTTCACAGGCATGGAATGGAGGCTTGCCGCCTAGATCCATCTGGAAAAGAGTCCTCTGGAAAATGGGTTTTCTGCTTTTACAAGGAGATTTTGAATTATTATATAAGCCTGGCTGAAATAAGCAGTGATCATGAAACCATATGATGTGAGAACTATAAAGGAAAGGTGAAGAAAATAGAAATCCGACCTACTCATTCATAGAAAAGGGTTCTGTGAGTCAGGACATCTGTAACTTATGAAGGTCTGGCTCATTAAAACACCTTGAGCACCGTGGCAGCATTAGCTCCCCTTACAGTGCCAAGCAGAAAGTCTTGGGAAGAATGCTCCAACTGGGAGCAAAATGCAACTTCTGCATGGAGACCTTGCCTGGGATTTGTAGTCATGAATTGCACATTCCTCGCCTCTCCACGAGCAGGGTCCTTGCAGTCTTTTTTCCACATATTAGCATCTCTTCTCTTTTAATAATAAATTCTCTTCGCTTCTTTCTTCATTACTACGTTCCTCACACTAAGGACGTACAACTTAAGCCATGGTGTCAGATGTAGAGAGCTCTGGGCAGTTAAATGTGGATGGCCTTGTCTGCAGATTTGCTTCCAGGTCCTATTAGTTACAGTTGGCCATTGCAGGTGGATTGTTCATGCCTTGGTATTTATCTGTTGTTGTAACAGCATGTCAACACCATGCATGGAGCACAGCTATAGAAACAAGCTGTGTTTTGTCATTTCTGCTTCCTCCTTACCCTCTCCAATGTCCATCTCTCACAGTTTGAAAACTGGTTTCTATATCACACATTCTTCATCCCACTTTGTTTAAGGGCCAACAGTAAAATTTTACACTGCCTTTTGCTATATATAGGAAAGTCCTTTTTATTGTAGACATTCTTAACATGCAAGCATGTCTTCCAAAGCAATATTTGGGTGGCCACTTAGGTTATCCAGGTAGAAGACTGCTTAAAAAAAATAAATCTTTTCTTGCCTTCAAGCAAAGATGTGTTGCTGCCCTTTTCTGGCAGGAGCCAGAATCATAAACTTACAGATTTAAGTGTTAAGCTTGAAGTAGATAAGAGAAGAAAAAAAAAATCAAAGAAGATGAGAGCAATACTGCAATATCTGGATAATGTGCTGGGTCATACAGTTGTTTTTGCCATCTCTATTGTATCTAATACTTGGGGCTCATCTGAACTGAAGCTGTGCAAACAGCCATTCTTTTTTCTATTTGCTTGCTTTGCTAAAAAAAAAAAATGTGGAGGAAGATGTTTAGAGGAAGCAAAGCACTGGTTGTTTGACTCAAATTAAAATACTTTAGGTTAAAAGAAATGAATAAAATTCATTTAACTTTTTTTTTCTGAGAACAACATTTCAATTTTGCTATTAAAAAAAGGCTTGTTTTGAAGATGTTTCAGTGAAATGTTCTGGGAACATTTACCAAAACATTCAAGCAAATTCAGCATGAACCCATGAAATGTTTCCATCAGCGAATCTGCCTAGCTCTTAATTATTTTTCTTCTGTAAAAGTTGTATCCAAAAAGTCTTGCCCAACTCAGGACTAAACCATTCATAATTTGATTATCCCCTGCATGGTACTGAAGTAGTTGTAATAAACTCTGATAACAAGTTGGTGGTTTTTGCACGAGTAGGAATAGATTTCCTCTCTCATGCCTTTGTAGACCTTGACTCTGTAGCAGGAGTCCATATGTCTTCCATGTGGAGTGTGTTTAGACATACAGTTCCTTACATTTGTATATCTTGTTCCCTTACAGTCTAGATGCATGGGGTAGAGTTCCTCTAAAAGTTATTTCTGCTGGATCTTGTCATTGTACCAAGTTTTTATAGTCATTCCTCCGCAGACTTCCAAGCAGAAAGATTTTTCCTTTCTCTGCCCCCATCCTTGAACTCGCCCTTCCTTAAAGTAAATCACTGAATAACTGAGGTTGTAAAGGACCTCAGGACCTCGTGTGGTCCAACATCCTGCTTCAAACAGGACTCTCAGGATGTGCCAGATAACCTACATGAAAATCCTTTTGCGGATACTTATTTCTACTCAAGAGACCAGAATCTCTTAGGATGGTCCAAAAGGGGAAGGTAGCACAGCTAGGAAAGGGTGTCAGTTGTGATGGGTTCACGGATGGTAGCCCTGTCCTGGTGAACACCAGCCTCCCCTGCCCTGAGCATCGCAGCGTAGGGGCTGGCAGTGGCCTGGCCTGAAACACTGCTCAAAGCTGCTCTTGTTTTCTCATGGAAGGGGCTTTGATCTTTGAACCCACAATGAGGATGTGCTCATGGGAGCCCTGAGTATCATTTTCTCTTCTGTGGAGCTTCAGAAGAGTAAAGGTCTGTTCATCAAAGTCAAAACCAGCTCTCTTGTTCAGTTCTATTTTAATACTCCACCACCTTCATGGCTGCAGTTAGCTGCCCAAAGGTGGCTTCCATATAAGCACATAGTTTGGGAATTCATATTATTTCTCTCCCCTATAGTTTCATTTCCCATTTTAGAATCAGTGATGGGGAATACGTGGTTTGCTCAGGATTGCTGTTGTAGTCAGTATGACCTTCACTTTGCCACCAGTTCTGGTTTGAAAGGAGCTAGTGATGAGCCTTGCTGTGCAATGCACCATCTCGTGTGTGCCTGGGCAGTTTGACCGTTCTTGGTACCTATTTTAACTCTGTTTGGTGATGTGTATCCAGGGTGATCAGGGAGGAGCAGGTGTTCCAGGAGATATCGGCTTCCAAGGAGACAAGGTAATTCTTTTCTTTTTCTTCATCATTTTTTTCCCCTGCATAGGGAGTAGAGGTTGTCACCAGCTTTCTCAGCTCCTCTTGGAGCCAACAGCCATGATGAGCTGCTTTCTTCCTGCCCATGAAGAGCTGGAACTAGCTCCACTTTGCTGCCAGGCTCCCCCATTCATATAGTTCTGATCTGGGGTACTCGGGGTCTTCCTAAAATTCAAGTCAATGTGTTGATTTTGTTGTTCTTAATAATTACACTTCAGTCGGAGAAAATCCGGGGCTTCCTTTAAAAAGAGCCTGCAGAACACAAAGCGCTGGAATGGGATGGGGGCGGTGGGAATGTGTGTGGTCCCGCGGCTGCAGACTTGGTGAATTTGTCAGCTCAGTGCAGCAGCTTCGACTCTGACCCAGCGAGGCACTTAACACGGGGCATAACTTAAGCAAACGACTGCTCCCCTGTGATTACAACATGATACCGACTGCAGATGACTAATGCTGCACTTAGCACTACACTGGGACCCTGAGCTACAGCAAACTGCAACAGTTCTTGGGTTCCTTGGGGCTAAATCCAGGCCCAGCTTTAGCAGAAACTAACTGGTACTAGTGCAATCATCTTGGCTCCTCACAGAGGCTGAGCTTAGTCCTTAGAAACAGCTCCTCTTTCCTGTAGAAACTGGGCTGGAGACTGGGAAATTGGTATTTTTTGATGCTTCATTGTGTTTTCTGAAAAATTTTCCCTCTCTCTCTCTCAGGGTAGCCATGGTTTACCTGGAGTCCCTGGGGCACGAGGAAAGCCAGGACCCCTGGTAAGTAACCAAATGTCCTTTGATGCTTCCTCTCCCTAAAGATTCAGGGCCCAACTGGAAAGACAGCTCGCGAGGGCTGTGCTGTTCTGAACAGAAGAGTCAGCAGCCTGTAGCTAGCTCACTTTTGTCCATGTTTTCTGATTTTTGCAGGGAAAAGTTGGTGACAAAGGTCCAGTTGGTTTTCCAGGACCGCCGGGCCCTGAGGTACGTCCCACTTTGTTACCTTCTGCAGCATCCTTTCTTTATTAAGCCCGCACAGTATATCCCCTATCCTCTCCCGTTTACTCTCTGCAGCAGTTATTAGATGTCTGTAGTTTGTCCAACTGAGAATGAGCTTTCTGTCAAATACCCACCTGGTGTGTTACAGGCTGTTAGACATGCCGAGCGCCTTTCCTTATTGGAGGATTTAAGTGCTCAGAGTGTATACAAATGGGCCCACATAGGGTTTTGCTGAGAAGATGTATGCATATAGCTAGCCCTAATTCAGAGAGAATAGCAGGAGCCAGAGGCTGCCTCCTGCATGGGCACCCAGCCAGGGCCAGGCAGGGGACTCTGTGGATTCAGGTCTTGCTACTTGACATGTTGTTCTCTGTTTTTTGGGGGGTTTTCAGCTGCTTTCCCAGGGCTGAGCATTGAATCAGTTTGCTTCCCACCTACCCTCCTCTTTTTGGCCCAGGGCTTGGCTCCTCTCCTGTGGTAAAGCAGTATATGTGTGGTGGTAAGGTGGGGAGCATCAAGATTGGTTCCTAACCCATTCTGGCTCTGATGTATTCCTGGTTTCTCTTCACTGTCTGTCATAGGTATCCTGGAGCGTTTCCTAGCCCACAAAATATCATTCCAAGTAGAAAATGACTCTTACTGCCCTTACCAAAAAATCTGTTACAGTGGTACCTTCAGCCTAGGACCATCTTCCCCCAGGATATTGCACTTTTTCTTCCTTACAAGCATCCAGACAATGCACATAAGATGTTGGAGAGCCACTTTGAGTACTGACTTGGTGGTGTGTTTTTCCTTCATCAGTGGTCTGGTATTCTGAAAGAGCTCTGTGTCCAGTGCTGTCACTTAGCAATCTTTGCTCCTTGTTGCTAGTGGAAATAACTGCAGATTCCTTTGTTTCCTCCTTGAACGGGTGGCTCGTTGAAGCCAGCAGCTAATGAGCGTGTCAGCACCTTGCCTAATTCCTTGCCGGCCTCCCCTTGGCGCTGGGGCGTGCGGGCCGTCGCCCGCTGCACTCGGATTACGCGCTGACTCACCAGGCTTAATTAAAACCCAAATTGCCATTTTTAGCTGTGTGATGACAGGAAGGCCCTCGGAACAATAAATCTGCTCAGAAGATGGACCTAAAGGGAATGACTGGGCAAGGCTGCTCGCAAATCAAACCGCGAGCTCTGTGCCCATTGTGCTGCTCCGCTCCCTGGAGATGCTCCGCAGTGGCCGGCACGCGGGCACCGCCAGCAAAGAACAAATGTCCAGGCATTCGGCCTTTATTTAAAACCTTTACGTGTCCTCAGTAGCTGTCTGAAAAAGTCCTGTGTGCCCCAGCCATTTCTCTCTCTTTTTTATTTCTATTTCTTCTTATTAGGGCTTTCCAGGAGACATTGGCCCTCCCGGAGAAAACGGTCCCGAAGGCCTAAAGGTGAGTGGAGCAGAAATTGAAAATCTGTGTGGGGTGGGAACCGGCCAGGGAAAACAAAACTGTGGGAAGGGGAGAGAGAAAATGCCCTTGGAGATTCCTGAGGATTATCCTGGCCAGCATTTCAGCCTGGTCTGTTTGACTTGAGGTCCTTCCAAGAGAGGGGTTTTCTTTTTTTTTCTTTTTTCTTTTTTTTTTTTTTTCCTATTTTTTCTCTAACAAAATTGACATTGGATGGTGTCCCATGGCTGTGAAAGAGACTTTCTCGTTTTAGTGGCCCTTTAGAGCTTATGTTTCTATTTTCTGAGTATCTTTTCCTTTGGCTCTTGCCCAGGGGAAGCCAGGAGCACGAGGTTTACCTGGGCCGAGAGGACTGCCTGGACAAGAGGTGAGTGTCCTCAGGGCTTCTCGGACCAAAGGTAGATCTGATTAGTAGAATAAGGTTGCATTTTCAAGATGAACGCACACTGAAATGGCACTTGTGATTTGAAATTTTCCAGTTCCTCTGAATCTACAAGAAAATGTTTAAATTCACTGATGAGAAATCTGCAGAAAAGGAACTTCTACTAAGTTGCAATCTTGTGATCTTTGCTTCTAGTTACTGCTGGAATCCATTAACCCAAAATCCTGCATTGAATTTTTTACTTAAAAAGAGGAAGAGTCCTGTTCCCCTGGACCTTCCTGCCCCTGAATGCATGATAAATCCCCTTTCCCTGTATATCCCTTTGCACAGACATGCCCTGACCTGGCTTTTGCTCTCTGCTCCTTTAAAAAGATTTTTTTTTTTTCTCAACTTTGGGACCTTCATACTCTGGTCTTTCACACAGAGCAATATCCTTTTGTAAAAAAGAAAGCATAAATGGAAATTGCTGTTTTGCAAAACCAGGCGTCTCAGTTTTCACCTTTTGATTCATGCAAAAACTTGAAGTTTCATCCCACTCATGGCTTCTATGAAGCAACAGTAACCACTGAATTAATATTCCTGGAGCTGTAAATACTTTACAGCAGTAGTAGAGCAGACCTGAGTGCCGTTGTCTTTATCCTGTTGTAAATCTAGTGACCTTGGTGAAGTTTCTTCTCATTTAGGCCAGTGCAAGTTGTTTGTCTGGCATCCTGAGGCAGTGTGCAAGCAATACTCAGTGCATAGGTGGACAAAATCACTAATAGCAATAATAATTCTTAATGTTTTCTGTGAATTCTTTTGTTTGCCTTCTAAATGGGATTAATCTAAATTAGCTTAGTTATTTGCACTGAAAAAGGAAAAAAAAAAAAACAAACATTCTAAGGATTTTACAAAGAGGGGAATTAAAATCTTGCATTCCAGTTGGAAGCCAGCATGTCCGAGCTGCCTTCAACTTACTCCAGTTGGCTAGTTAAACAGTAAGGATCATGGATGTGCACTTGGAATGGGCTATATTGCCCTACCTTCACTGCTGCTGTTACCCAAGGTGGCGAGATTCATGCTGTGGATTTCACCTTCTTCAGAAGCGTGGGGAAGTTTGGGATGGCTTATCCGAGCCCATACACCCTATTTGAACACCCTGATGTCCAGTCCTGTCTTCAGCTCACTAGCTCATGTCATTTCATTACCACTGCTGTGGCTGCCAAGGGTACATAATTTCTCTCTTGGCAGTGGATTTTAGAGACATTTGAGATGATTTCGGGGAGGTTTAACCGAAGATCTCCTGGAAACTCTGGGTTTGATCCTATCACATTAGAGTTTGGTATAGAGCCAAGGGAGAGGACCCAGTCCAACTGCTGCGTGAGATTTTGGGATATCTCCATCCTGCAGCGTGTCTAGTTCCATTTGAAAGCAAAAGAAAAACCTTGCTGCAGTTGCCAAATGTTCCGTGGGAATTTTGCAAACTCTTTCTGGAGGGAGGGGAGGCACTCAGAGCTCTGCAGCGTTTGTATCCTCTGTCAAATCAGACGAAGCAGAATCCAGTGAGCTTGACAAGTGTATCCCTGGGCCAAACCCAGCCCTGGATAAGCCCACCCAACTGGTGTTGACTTCAGTGGGTTTTCATGTGGCCCTTGTTGGCAGGGCTCAGCTTTGCAGTTTATTCCTGAGATAAGGAAGGAGATGAGAAGCCCTAGGAAATGCCCGAAGAAGCGTTTAGCTGAGCTGTGTGCCCTACAGTTTGGAAAGACTCCGTTGTTAAAATGTGACGGCTGAGCACACAGCACGTGCTTAACTGCCAGCCAGACCGCAGACCTTTCACTTTTGCTGTATGGTGAGTCTGAACTTTGTCACTATTTTGACCTTTATTTTAATTTCTTTCCACCTCAGGGAGATGAAGGACCCTTAGGACCACCTGGAGTCCCTGGTCCAGAGGTAGGTTTCACTGGTTTTAAATGGTTTGATCTATTACTAGCAACTCCATTGACCTTGCAAAAGAATTAAAATAATGTAAAGCCTCAAACCTTCTGGTTTGGAAAGAGATCTTCCCTGCTAAGATGTATTGTTTTGTCCAGGGTTTGGTCCAGATGCTTGATCCTCTTGTGTTGCCTCAGCAGCAGCTTTGTTCCTTTTCTTTTCAATGAGAATGAGGAAATACTAGTTTGAAGGAAAGAAAATCAAGAAAAATAACACAGGGACCTAAAGCCTTTTCCATCTCTACATCACTTAGAACATAGTGATGTGCTTCGGAAACCCAGTGAGGAGAAGTAAAAGCAATGTTACTGCAACTGTGAACTTGCCAGCTCAAGTTTTTATGATGGTTATGGCTATGTACATAATTATCATTGCAAGATATTTTACTGTTTTACAATTTGGTAACTGTGCTGAGAGCTTCTATATGGATCAGGAGAGAAATATTTTATCTTGCATTGCCTCCCTGTGATCCAGTGGGTGCTTTTAGTGTTTTCTGGAGAAACATGGCAGATCCAGTTACTTCAGTGCCTGGACCAACACCAAAATTATTCTTCTAACCAGAGGGAACATGGACCTTTTGGTGTGCAGGCTTCATCCTGGTTTGCTAAGCAGAGGTGTGAATGTTAGCCTGGGTTCCCCTCGCTGCAGGGTGCTCCTGTTCCCTGGTCCTCTCTGGGATGATAGGAATGGAGCCTATAAGGAGCTCACGTGGTTCAATTCCAACACTCACTAGCAAAATATGATCCTCAGATGCTCAGGTTGCTGAGTGTCCCGCAAAACAGACAAAAAAAACTGCTGTAAGCAGAAGAAATGGGGCTGAATGCAGCATGTAACTATCCACTGGGCAGTGACAAAGCCCTTGGCTTAGTTGATGGTAGCTCATGCATAGTGTTACTGATGCAAAACTGAAGTAATGGAACTTAATTGGAGGAGCAGAAATGGACTTATCCTTGATGCAGCTCTCTAAACATGTTCCCCATGAATCAAACTGAGAGCACTTGAGGCACGGTGCTTTCCTCCATGGTTGCTTCAGCATCAGAGAGGACCACTCCATCTTTAGTGCGCTTAATTCACTGGGAACGTGGCTTGAAAGCTGTGCCTTACTATATAAGTTTACAGACCCACTGCTGTGAACAACAGCAGTTATTCCTTACTTTTTATATTTATTGCTCTTCTATATATTTCAGGGTCGATCTGGCCGGAAAGGTTTTCCAGGAAGACCTGGTCCTGATGGTCCAAAGGTGAGGAAAGGGTTTGTTCATATTGAGAGAAGTGGAAGGCAGAGAGGGAATGGAAAGCCTCCTTTCCCACCTTTAACATGCTCTCAGCCTAAGGTATTTGGTCAAAACAGGGACATGGGAACTGAGGATTTCTCTGAATTCTGGGGTCTTGGCCCCTGGTTTCTTCAGTGCAAAAAAAGAAAGACAGGGCATTTTTTAAAAAAATGCTATGTGCTTTATTGCAAACAAGTGTGTTCCTCTTTTGATATTAACTACCTCCCCCATCGTCTCTTCTTTTTTTTCTTTTTTTTTTGTTACTTCTCCATGTTTTTGTTCTAAAACAATGCACATCATTCCTATCTTTGCTGCCTAATTAGCAGCAGGAGCCATCCCAGAGCAGCCCGCTCCATAAACCCGCACTCAAAAGGAAAGAGAGAACCCAACAAAAACAACCTCCTCAAACAGTAAATAACAAAAATGTGGTCTGGCAGCACATCTGGAGTATCTGCCTACTGAGAAAATACAGCTGCTGTCACCCAAGGACAATACTGGTTAGAGGTGCCTCTGGATAGCCTGCCCTGGGGTGCTCAACCAGCCTTTGAGGACGGCGGCCGGCCCTTATCCCTGGTTGCTTTGAAATTCTCCTCCTCCTGCTTTTCTCCTCACCCCTCATTTTTCTCATCTCTGACTTTCTCTGATACTGCACTGTGGGTTGCTCTCTGGTTTTCATGCAGGCGCTCCACATGAGCAGCAATGTGCAGACACTTGAGATTCTGCACGAGTAGAATCAGGGTGCAGCACTGCCTGGGAATGTTTGGCTTGTCCTTTGTTTGTGATCTGTTCACTGACAGGGGGATCCTCTGGACCCCTTCTACATTGTCATTCATTAACTGCACCTGGTTTCCACACTCTTGCTTCTTCTAGGTGCTCCTCAAATCTTTTGATTAATCGTAGTCCTTTCCTGTTCTGCAGAAAGGCAGAAACACCCCAGCTCCAGGAACATCCTTGAGGAGAACTCATGCCTTACTAGATGTGAGAGTAAAACAACCAGGACTAGGCTGTGCTACAGAAAGCCAGACAGCTTATTTCTCAATATCTAAGCTTGATTTTGTGTAGGTTATTTCACCACAGCAGGACCTGTTGTTTTGGGGGGCATTTCACTCCAAAACAGTGAATGTTTGTGCCCTGTTTGTGTCAGCTACGGTTCTTGCTTTATCGTTCTAGTTACACCAGGTTTTGTAAGAGATTGTTTCTTGTTATTCCACAATTCACGTGAAGCAGCCCAAGTAATGGTTCTGCGAAGAACTGGGGAAATTTAACTCAGTCTTGCTGGTAGACCTCCCAAATGCAGCTTACCTGCCCCTGGGTGAAGCACATAACTGTTCATCTCATGAACCATCATGCTGTCCTTAGGCCATCATTGGGACAAGTGAGTAACCATCATGCCATCTCTCTGCTTGTCATGCAGGGTGAGCCAGGAAACCGTGGCCGACCGGGGAAAGTTGGTGAACAGGTAAAGTCCTTGTTTTCCTTGTCTGCTTGATGATTTTGTGGGTATGCCATGCACCGAGAGCCCAGGGTTCTGCCAGAGGGCGGCAAGCTGGTGTTTCTGGCCAGTTGAGATCTTCAGAGATGGAGCGCTTGGACTCTTACAGTGGGAAACTTGCTGTAGCTCCAGCAGAGCAGAGCTCTCAATGAGTAGTACCAGCACTGGCCTTGATGTGGTGTAAAGTGGCGGTTTTCCGGTAGGCAGAGTGCTTGGATAGAGTCACAGCTGACTGACGCACTGTCAGCATTGGCAGTGTTGTAACACGCATGACCTGGTGTGCTTATCCAGTGGTTATTAAGGAGGCAAAGTCATTGCAAGGAAAAATTATGGATTTCAGTGTTTTCCTTTCATTCTTCAAGGGCATTTACCAGGCTTTGCCCTCCTAGATTCTGAGGGCAGAGCTCAGCTTTGAGGTGCTGATCTCCTTGGGCTCCTAATAGATTTTCTGGGAGCAGAGGAGACAGCAGCCAAAAGAACTAGACCTGGAAGACAGAGACACAGAGCTACATTTTGTTGTACTGGAAGAGAGAAATTTCTGCTAGGGAAGCAGGGGACACAGCTTGTCCCTGTAGGCTTCGGGGAACCGCAGAGGCGAGGAAAAAGAAACAATCGCTGCATGTCTCTATCATTGAAACCAACCACCTCATCCACCAGCAACCCTGAAATTGCAGCCACAGAGCCTCTGACACGTTCTCTGCGTTCCTGTGTGACCACACCAAGCTGGATGCAGCAGCTCCTGGCAAGGGAGCGTTCCTCCCCGGCACAGCTATCCTTCCTGGCATTGTCCCTGCCCCGATGGTCAGCCTTGGTTAGCTTGCCAGCATTGATGCCCTTGTGTCCAGCACCTGGGGGTCTTTTGACTCACAGGTTTCTGACCAAACACGTCCAAAAAAACAAGATGGATTGTTTTCTGTACCAGCCATCTGATGGGCCTTAATGTGAATTCTAGGTGGTTGTTTCCATTGCGATATTAGAGCCATTTCTGAATTACAGCTAATAGTTTACAAAAAGCAATTCCTGAAGAAGCAAAGCTGCTGCACACATGCGAGCTCAGGGCCCAGCCTCTCTTTGCAGCTCTGTCTGCTCCTGCACAACGTGCAGCAGCACCTTCCAGGGCGCTGTGTCGCGGGTCTTTCTGCAGGGCACGCATGATGCAGCTGCTGTCCCATGCAGAGCCAAGGAGATGAGAAATCCAGGAACACCTCACTCTGAAGAGCTCTTGGTAGGACACCTCCTGATCTCAGACAGTGCCTATGGACACTCTTGTGTTACTGTTAAAATTGTATAGAAGGGCTCGGAGATGCTTAACAAGAAGTTGCCATTGAAGGACAAAGCACCAGTACGATTATTATTCTTTAATGTCCCTTGGGACTGACCTTGGATGAAAACTGTAGGCACTGTTCACCAAAAAGAAAACACAGCTGGCCTCCGCTGACACTGAAACCAGCACAGTGGTATGAAAGCTGCCTGTATTATTTTTAGTCAATTAGTCTCTGTCTAGAAATATCACCCAGAAAGAATTTCCATTTCTGTGCTAGTAAAGTCATTAGAACAAAAATGCAGCCCCAGGTTAATGGGAAATAACGTCCTTTCCTATCGCACCTTTGCAGAACAACACTGGAGTGTTGGGCTTTAATTTCTCCCTCTACCTAAGCGCGTGGTGTTGGGGCTGGGTGGGTTTTTGCAGAGCTCTGGGAGGTCAGGCTGACAAGCTCCCTCACTGCTGGAAGGCCGATCTTCACCTAGGCTCTTTTTTTCCCATTTGGACACCTATGTGCTTTCTATTCCATAGGCACAAAAATGAGTGATGAAACTTTTCCAACTCACTTCTCTGACCTTCGTATGAGTTTCCTTTGACTGGAAACCTTCAGCATAAACAGCTGCAAAGTAATCATCCATCCATCTCATCAGAGCACTCTCTTCCCTTTCTTATGGACATTTGTTTAGGCAAACATGGGAGTTTTTGAAAGGTTTCCACTGATACCGAGCTAGAGCTGGGAAGACAGTTTTTAAGCCACAGGGCAGCCCCTGGTGCAATGTTTTTTCCATTGCAAAGACACTGAGTCAGGAAATTCATTCATAAGATGCTTGTTGTCTTCAAATGCTGGAAGGACTCCAGCTGCTGGGCTCCCCTGTACCCTGGAAATGTGTGATTTAACCCTTCCTTGCCAGCAGATGGAGGCAGAAGAATATAATGAAGAAGACAACGTCGCTAGCCCAGGCCACCAGCCTTCCCGTTGCAGAGCTGGGAGCACAAAGCAGGAGGATGCTGCCCCTGTCTCTGTCCCCGAGGCTCCGACAGCGCTGTGAGAGAGGAAGCACCCCGCTGGAGACAGAATAGCATACTGGGGACCTCAAGGCCATGGTCCCCCTGCCTGCTGAAAAGCTCAGGGACAGACCGTGCCAGCTGGAAGAGGCTGAGGTTGACCTCTTCCGTAGCAGGAAGAAGGAGGTCCCATCACAGCAGGAACCTCTTGTTGAATCCCTCCTCCTGCACAAGGCCTCCGACCTCCCTGTTTGTGCACGCGGTGGTGTCAGGTTCGGCCAGAAAACCCGTCATAGCCTACGGGGAAGGGCTGTCGGTCTGGAGTCACTCTGTGAAGGGAACTGCCTCCCCGAAACACGCTGGGTTGCCCATTTCTTGGGGTGGTGGTGGCTTTCTGAGCACCCTAATCTTAGCTGTCCCCTCTTCCCATCCATATCACTCTGCAGGTGGACTTGGCCAAGGTTGGACGGGTAGCTGCTCTCAGAGCAGGGCACTGCACTGTCGTTTCCCACATCAGAGGAGCGCCTTTCCCTCCAAAGTGCCTCTTTCTGACATTCTCATTCATGGCTTTACAGGCACTTGAGCACATGGAGCTGCTTTGATTTGCCAAGCTGTTTTCTTGAGGTCATGGTATTTCCTTCATTCATTTCTCAAAAGGGCGATGGAGCCTGGTGTGGCCTCAGAGTAGAGCTGAGCTTTGGTGCACAGAGGGTTAAACCGCATGGATTTTCTATGCGGGTCAGAGCGTCCTCCCTGAAACTGTGATATTTACTGTTTTACTTTCCCTTTCTTTCATCTGAATGGGAGGATTGTACATTTACTCCCTGTGTCCTTTGTCCCCGGTTTGTTTTGTTTTGAGTTCTAGCGAACCAGTAAAACAGAAAGGGCCCCGATCGGTTCCTGCTGGGAGCGACTGGCCGTCCCATCCCTGGGAGACCCTGTTCACGCTGGGCTCGCCTTTCGGTTGGGCTCTCAAATGGGCTATGATTTATGCAAGGCTTCATTGCTGACTTGCTCTCTGTTGATGCAGCCAAGAGGGGGGGCTTAATTATGACAGGGCTGGACAATAAATGGAGAAAGCCAGACAGGAGTTAAGAATTACAATCTGCCAGTTCCCCCCCTTCTTTCCCTGCCAAACCCCCCAGCAACTGTTTAACAACCTACATCCCCTTTCCGCCATGACCTTGGCTGGGGAATACAGCAGACTGAATCAGCGACATGCTGAACTCCCTGTCTAATATAAGTGTTTTACATTCTTTCTTGTATGCAACGGGCTGTTACTGGGGCAGCCACCGCTGCTGGGACTTCATGTGCCTCAACTACACGCACGGCCTGCAGTCGCGTTTGATGCAGGGCTTCCTCTTGACCCTGGGAACTTGGGAAAATACCATACGCCACAGCCATTTTAGCGTAGTGACCACACTTCAAGTTTCCTTTGATTTAGTAATTGTCATCCATGGCTTTTCTGGTTGCTAAAACCTAAATCTTCTGCTGCTTGTGCTCCCTTCAGCCTGTGTCCCATTTTGGCCAGTGAGGAATGTTGTTATCCAATCTCCTCTAGTAGCTTCATGTACTCCCAATAAGTTACTGAGATTTATTTTGCCTAGACATATCTATTTCATTTTCTGTCTGCTTGCAGACACAGCAGCGTTAGTTAATTCAGCGCAGAGCAGACAGCATTGGCTGCAAACACCGCAGAGCTGCTGTGCTGGAAACGTGCTCACGTCGCACGGTCCCCACCGCCGTCCCGCCGCAGTGACACCACAGGGTACCCCTTAGGTGCACAAGCTGAAGCGAAGTCTTCCCTCCAACTGGAACACGATGTACCACCACAGACAGAATTGTCTCCTCTTTCTGGAGCGAAAAACAGGCTGGAAATTTTGGCTGCGCTCCCCCTGCATCCCGCCGTTCACCAGCGCAGCAGGTGCAGCGTTTGCCCCTACCCTGCTTGTGTTGGCAGCGCCGGCGGCTTTCTGCGCAAGCTGCGATAACAAATGGCACATCTGTGCCGGAGCGTGGGCTCCCAGGAGGGTGCTGGGGTTGCGTTCCGTTCGGCGGGCTGTAATCAGGGTGCAGCCGACCATCTGCAGAGCACCACCAGTTTGGCCAGCAAACACAACCAGTGCATCTCGTTTCATGACCCAGATTCCTCAGAGACTTTCTGCGGTGGGAGTTGATGCCGCTGTGGACAGCGGATCCAACGTCCACTGCCTTTAAACCTGGGTTTGGGTAGGAAACACTGCACCTCTGACCTCTCCAAAGTATTTTTGACACAGCGTTGTTTTTATTGGTAGCAGTGCACACATTTGCTGCAAGAGCTGGGATCTCGGCTTTTGTAGTGGACCGACCCAAGGTAAATAGGAATCATCTTAAAGAGCTTCATCTCATTGCTTTGTCTCTGCCTTAACGTTCACCTTTGCACAGCCTGGGGCTACTGGAAATTTTGTCTGTGGCTGGAAACAGTTATCAGCTCTGTATCTGCACTTGTGTCTAATTGAAAAAATAATTGATTCAGCAGCCTTCAGCAATGCCACCCAGTGGCAAACTTGCATATGCAGATGTTGTAAATTTGCCTTTTCTCCGTCGCGGTCCTGCACTGGGTAATCTGCTAGAGACAAGCAGTGGTTTGCTGTCACGTGTGCTGTCCTCGTGGCCTAATCTCAGTGAAATACTTGTGCAGTGGCAACGCTTCAGCTTTGGACATGGCAAAGACCATCACAGTGCGGGCGTCAAAGGCTTGGTAGCCTCCAGCTCCTGGATGGAGATCTCTCCTGGTAGTAGCTGTCCTCCTGTGGTTCATCTGTGTTTCCATCCCATCATAGTGGCATGCTGCTTTCCTAGACCATTTCTGGAAGAATTTCTAGCGAGAGCATCTAGTTCTTGGTATTTGAAGTTGCCATCAGAAGTTATTCCCTGTAAAAGTCACTAAAGTGGTGGATCTTAAGTCTCTGAACAGAGTCTACTGATCCTCATGCATGGGAATAGCAGCTGAGCTTGGTTGTTAGATGACAAAACTTCATGTTGTGCTCGTGACTTCATGGACATGGCTGCTTTTGGCAGCTGTGGAAGTGGCGTGACATGTCAGCAGGCTGCACTCAGGGCTGTATTCTCCTCCGGAGCTCTGCGGTGTTTTCAACACTCGCAAAGCACAGATGGAAACTGAACCGGAGTGATGCAGAGATTGCAGACAGCTGCTCTGTGAACACAGGGCATGTCTCAGAGCAGCCAGGAAGGAGGAAGGAAGGAAGCAGGCATATAGAGAGGAAACTCTTGCTCCTTTTCTTGCTGTTCCCTGGGAAGGAGGATTACAGGGTGAAAACCTTTGACACCACCACCCGGGTTGACTCACTCACGTTGCTTTTTGCCCTGCTGTAGTTGTGCGTACTGAATATTTTGCTCAGAGAGAATTTTCCTGGACAAACTCCTTGATTTTTGAAGTAGATAGGTGAGGTGCATTGGTAGAGAGGAATTTTCAATTCATCATGAAGTTTTCAGATGATTTAAGAATGAAGATGGATGGGACAATGTTAAAACTGTGGGAAATAAAGTTGAAAATCCCTTTCCCATCTCAGCAACCACTTCCCAGGAGCAATAAGACTGTAGCCTAAAATCAAACAAGCCGGAGCATGGCTTAAATTGACAATACCCCTGCCAGCTGCAGGCAGGCTATGAAGTGTTTTGACAGGAGATGAATCCTTTTAGTTACAGATTAATTGGAGGAGTTTATATCTACCACTGACCCTTGGAACTTGGGGGTCCAAGATGCTTTCTGAGCAGTGTGACAGATTTGCTGCCCTGATGGTCCTCTCTGGCTGAGCCCTTGGACCTCTGTTCCCTACTAACAATGTGACACTACCCTGGGCAAAATTAGTTTGCACAGAGGTTTGAAGCAGTTCAGATTAAACCATAAGATATTTCCCCAACACAGCAGTTTAAAATGATTGTAAAATGATGAGAACTAGCAGTGTCTGTGCAACACAGGAGCTCCTGCTATCGATGGTCTTGGGGAAGCCGCACTGACATTTTAGGAAACACTTACAGAATAAAGCCATGCTGTGGCCTGGGCCTTTCTGCAAAACGTGCTTCACTCGTCCCCTATATTATGTGTTGTGGCTCTTGCAGATCCTAATGCTGCCGTTCCAGCTGGCTCCTAAAGCAGAACCAGCTGTGGAGTTAGACGTTCCCATGGCCTGGAGCAACTCTGTCCGCTCTGGTAGCCAGTAGGAATTACTGAGCCATATATGAGGGATGTTGTGCTGTTTCAGCCAGCAAGGTAGACCAAAAAGACTGTTTACTTTCTCAGCATATAACACAGAAAATTAATTGTGCTTTTCTTTCCTCAGGGTCTAATGGGTTTTATTGGTCCAGTAGGGGAGCCTGGAATGGTGGGAGAAAAGGTAAGATTGCTTGCAGAGAATGTGTTGTTATAACTTTTGCAGGATGGAGGAGACCGGGGCAGGGGAAATATTGAAAAGATTTAAATTGTCAGGTCAGTGCAACACCCAGCTGGGAGCACAGCACTTCGAGGGGGTCTGAGCTAGTGCTGGATCAGTCAAAAACGATCCACTTCGTATTTAGGAATTAGTTTGTACTCATTCTCCAAGGAGATGCTGCCAGATATTCTCCAAAAATACAAATTTTTGAAGTTTCATTCATTCGTAGTCTTCCAGAAAGCCTGATTTTTAACAGACCCTCCTCCTTTTTTTTTCCAACCCCCAATGCTGGGAATGAAGGATCCTGTGTGCCCTGAATTCCTGGTCAGGGGAGGAGTCCCTGCAGTTTGGACCGCAGACACATTTGCTCGGAGATGTGTTTCCAGTCCCACGTTGAGTTGCCAAGCGGTTGCAGGGGACAAGGCTCAGCCTGCACTGAATGGGAGCGCTGAGCTGATTGTGAGGTGTGGAGAAAGGAGAAAAGGGCAAAGGCAGCGTGTAAATGAGCATGGGCTGCTCCAGATCTCTCCTCTTTATGTGGCAAGGACCTTCCTGCCCGCATGGCCCTGGGGTTGCGCTGGGCATGCTATTAAGGGCTGGTGCCCTCTTGTGTGCAGTCTAGATATATGCTTCTTTCAGGGAGAACAAATTATTTTCCATGAAAGGTAAATGGCTCCTAACTCCTTTTCTACTGGAGTGTAAAATTTCATTTGGGGGTAGCTTATAAAGACAAATTGCCTATATGGTTTGTTACATTTCATTTGTAGAGTGCTGGTTTTCACTGATGGTTTTTATTATTCTCAGTCCAGCTGTAACGATAGCAAAAGGTATCGTATTTATGCTCCGCACATCAGTTCTTTCTCCCCCGTTTATTACATCAAGCCCTGTCCTCTAGGTAACAATGTGAAGACAGTGTGATAGTTTGCTGCAAAGGCTTTTTATTTTTGCTAGCAGCAGATTCAGGCAAGCCCTTTGCAGGAGCTGTTCCCTGTGTTGAGGCAGTAACAGAAGTGGGCACAGGCTGGACTGCTAAGGCACGCAAAAAGTAAAAGGATCTACATGATGGAGGCTCCGTTTCAGAGAAGGTTAACAAAGGGTTAAAGAATCTGTGACGTGTCCAAAGTGATTGCACAGAAAATCAGTGCTGGGACAATATTGTCTCTAGGGCTCAATGGTAGCTGCAGCCCTGAACCGAAAGGGGAATGAGGACCTGCTATGCAGGAGCTATGGAGAGACCTTCTTTCCACTCAGTAAATCTACGTCCGACCCCGTGACTTCCACGCTAATGCCTTTACCACGTCATCATGTTGCAGATCAGCTCTGTAACGTGACCATGTTACATCAGTGTCAGGGCAAACTCGGGCTGTCTTCTCCAAATCTATTCTAGGAGTTCCTCAGCGCAGCTGTGATTTCTATCAGGCTTCTCCTTCTCTACCAAAATAAACTTACAGATGACAAAAATAACTATCATCAAATCAGAACCTCAGCTAGGCCTCCAGTTGGCATGGCGTCCTAGAGCTTACTATGTTGCTTTGAGCTAAATGAAGTGGGAAATATGCTTTCATTAGACATAGCTGAGTCAGCAATCTTCTTCTTGAGAGCTGCAAAACTTAAGGCTGAAGCAAGTAGAATCCAAAAATGATCAAAGAGAACAATCCAGCTAATACTTAATAAAATCCATGCAGACAGAAAAAAAAAGAAAATCTTCATTGGCTTACAAGGGCCAACTGGTGACAATGCATACTCTGGAGTTTGTTTTTAATAAGATGCTTGAAGTCTGGGGAATATTCCCTCCTTACACTGTAACTGTTGAAAGGTAGGTCAGATTTTGGGCGTAAACTACTTGGCACCATTTGCTACCTCCTCCTTCCTCATCCCCCCGAGCACACAAATGCAACGCACCTAATTCCCCGTGCACTGCTGGAATTGCAGGAGAGAGGACAGGCAATGATGGTGGCAATTGCCACCCTCTCCAAGAAGGAGCAGTTGACAGCCCATGCCTAGAGCTGCACCTACAGCTCACCCTTGCCTCATGCACCTAATTCCCCATGCACTGCTGGAATCGCAGGAGAGAAAGGACAGGCAATGGTGGTGGCAATTGCCACCCTCTCCACGAAGGAGCAGTTGACAGCCCATGGCTAGTGCTGCACCTACAGCTCACCCTTGCCTCAGCAGGCCCCAGCAGTATTCCCGAGGGATACACCTCACCTCCAGCTCTTGACGGCTCCAAAAGAACCATGGATGTATGGAGAGGAAGTGGGATGTTCTGTACATGGGGGAAAAGGAAAGATTTTTTCAGAATTAATAAGTGATTTTAATACATTAATTCTTTGATGCCAAGTCCAGGTTTCTGATAGTATTAGAGCACACAGGGATTACAGCTCTGCTGACCCAGGCAGTGTTTTGGTGGGAAGAGATGGAGCTTTCCTGTGATTCAGTCCCAGCACTGTCTTTACCGGAAGGTGGCTTTGGATTAATTGCTTGTTTCTTGTTCCACAGTGGTTTGGTAGTGGAAGTAAAGCCCCATTTCTTGAGATACAGTGAATTAGCTACCTCCTGCTGTTATTCTTCAGCTACTTTAATGAGATAGATGCTCCAAACAGGGTGATGATTATTTTTCACTGGAAACCTTTGTGCTAAAAATCTTTCGCATAGACTGCGGTCACTTTGTTGCTCTAGATCCCTTTTGCTGCCAGCTCAGGGTGCTTGTTGATAAAATTACTTGCTCTTCTCCGTGTGCCTTTGTCCTTGCCAGGGTGACCGTGGCTCGGTGGGACCCCCAGGCCCTCCAGGAGTCAAGGGGTCGATGGTAAGGAGTAAGTCTGCATTCTCTCGCTCTTGCTGCTGCCTGGTTGACCGGGCTCTGCCTCTCTCTGTGAAGCCCTCAGCTCCTCCTGGTCTTTGGGTTAAATGAGAATTGCTGCAAATTGTTGCCATCTTTGAGTGGTGGCTTATATTGAGGTATAACCTCTTCCCATCGTACAGCAGTATGTTTTTTTCAGAAAAACTTGGGCTCTTGATGGGTGCTGTGCCCCGATCAGATGAGGACTGATCAAACAGCAATAACTGGGGACTGCGAGCTACGGATTTGCCCTGAAGGATTGCCCATTTCCAAGCAACTGGGCTCCTGAAAAGACAGGGTTCTAGAGCAGGGATTTCCAAACTTCCTTGCTCGCATCCCAACACACTGCCAATGGCAGCTGGAGAGGCTGGGTTGCTTTTCCAGCACTGCCATACTACTTTGTTGTGCTATGGGCATATTTGAGGACATTTGTTAAGAGTTTAACAGAGGGCCCCTCGCTCCCTGTATGCCGTAAAGAAAGACCAAAGAGAGATTTTCATATTTCAGCCCATGCTATCCTGGGCTGTTCAGAAAATCTGGCTGCTTGTATTTCTAGCAAAGTTGAAGCTGGGCTTTGGGCACTCCGGCCTTCATCATCTGCCCCTAAGCTCTCTTACCCTGGAAAATAACAGTCATTCCTGACCTTGCAAGCAGGCAGGGATGCCATACTTCTGCCTTGCAGGTTTGAGGAGGAAGGGTTGAGCAGATCCAAGGAATTCACATCAGGCCTGTTGTTCTTGCTTCCTTTTTAGGGGCATCCTGGAACACCAGGAGGAGTGGGTTTTCCTGGAATCCCTGGCCCAACAGTAAGTAAAGACTATAATCACCTTGTAAATCAACACAACAAAATCAGCATCCTGTATTCTGGGCCTTCAAGGTCTGAGCCAAGCAACCATGTCCCAGATGCTTTGAGCTTGAAGGACAGTTTGCAAATGAAAAATATTGAAGAATGAATGGGAGAAATACAGGAGAGGCTTGAATGAATGTTTTGTCTGGACCTTTGTAGGCCGTTTCCCCAGCAATGTGGTCCAGAACTCGCGATCCAGCCTTACTCCCTCACCAGAACATCAGCTCCCTAGCTCAAGGCACTGCTGCACGCTCTTGCTCTTGCTGCTGGGAGCTGCTGGCAGGGCCACGCTGCGTTGCGCAGTGACGGTGTCATTCGGGGCCGTGACTGCATCATGTCTCAGAGCCCCTCGCCGCAACCCTGGGCGCAGCAGAGCAGCTGCCCCGGACGTGCCCTCCATCTGGAATTGCTCATCTGCTACATGTGCAGCTGGCCGGAGCGTGCAATCACTGTGGAGGTAGATCCTAGCCTGGCTCTGCGTTCTCACAGCCCTTGTTTAGCTGGTGCTCTGGCTCTCCTGGCAGCACAAACGCCACCGCGTGAAGGCGACGCCTGTCGCTTGCTGGAGCTAGGGGAAAAGCAGCTCTGGGGGCAGAAGACGAGGAATGGATTTCACTCACTCTGTGCATTCTCACAATGTGGTTAATTGGGAGGAAGATCGCTGTGGTGAAATGCCTGGGCAGTGCCAAGGGTCCGGCCTCCGGATTCGCGGCAGCTCTGCCGGCTGCGGGGAGCTCTGGGCACCGTCCCCGCCGGCTGCAGCCACCTGTGGCTCTGCTGCCGTTCCGTGGCCGCAGGTCTGCGGACGCCACGGGCACGGCCTGGGATGGGACAGCCCCTCAGGGTGACCCGAGCAGCAGGGTCTGATGGAGTGTGGATGGCGCGGCTGTCCAACAGCCCCCCTGCAATAACGGGGCTGCGAGGCTGCCTGTAGTCCCCAGCAATAAGCCTCTGCCTGGCTCCTTACAGCAATTCCCAAGCTCACTATTGACAGGAGAATTAGGAGGGGCATGGATATCCTGAGGTGTCCCTTTTTAGCAACCTTCCTAGCCCATTTGCTGCTGTACGATTTGGGATGTCCAGAGCATTATGTGGGTGCCCTGCTTAGATGGACTGAGAGTCCACCTCTTAGCCAAGGTGGGTTCTACACTAGTCCCTTGGAAAGAATTCCCAGGTCCTGAAATACTGACTAGTGTGCCAGTAACTAGTGCTTTTAGTTAAGGTTGAATTTTGTCCTGCTTTGCTGGGGCATGATGACAACAGCATGAGTGAAGACATGAGCTCTGGGAGCCCGCAGGTCCTTCAGCTTCCTTCAGTGCCCTGTTCTCCTGCAGTGAAATAACCAGCAGGTTCATCCAAGCAAAAGGTTTCCTTCAAGAGCGTATTTAAAAAAAATCATAATTCAGTAAGTCAAACTTCCCAGCAAGGCCAGTAAATCAAATAATCCCCTAATATTAAATCCCCACTCTTATTAACTCCAGCTGTTTCTGCCTATTTTTCCACCAAACAAACCTTCCTCATTTGCTTCTTAAGCCAGACCTGTGGCATAATGTTGTTGTTTATATTCGGCTGCAAAAATCTTCAGGGGATGAAGCAATCCAGTGAGCCTCAGCAGTCTGTTTAATTCAATAAAGGGTGGTTGGGAGTGGGAAACAAAGGTACAGTAAATGGTAGGAAAATCTGACCTCTATTTCAGCTGAGTGTCTTGTCCTTGAAACCCCAAGCCTGGGATCTGGTTGCTTCCCTCAGAACTTTGCCATCACAATAAGTGTTTACGTGCATGTTTTTTTCTAAACTGCTTGGAATAGGCAGAGACTTCCAGTAGAATATTCCAAATACCAGCAGAGTATTTCGTTTCAGTATGTGTTTACCATAAAAATCCTAATAAAATATGCATCCGACACATCTGCTCCTTGTCTGTGCCAGTCCCAGCTGACCTCACCAGCAACACTGAGATTTACTATGATTACAAATATAGGCACAGCACAGCTAACTAGATTCTTTTCCATCTTGAGTGCTAACAGCTACACATTTGTATTTGGGACCTACATGCCGTGCAGAATGATAGCTCGGTTCCAAAAGCAAAATCCTTATTAGTGGCAGTAATACAAGCAGTAGGAAGATCACAGTTTAATTTTATTCCGATCCTTGCTGGAATTTGCAGGGCTGTCAGTTGGCAAAAGCTGTTAATATATAAATAGCAAATCTCAATGTGGAATTTTTGAGAGAGTAAGAATGGAATGTGTCATTCTGAGGTTTTTATTCTGACAGCAGAAAAGCACCAACTTTAGATGCAGTTTTTCAAGTTATAGTATAGCAAGAAATCCTGTTAATTTAAAGGAATGCATCCTTTAATTTTTGAAACTCATAAACCTTGGTAACAGAAGAAAGGTAATTTAATTTCCTTCTGAATTTCCTGTTTGAATGTTAATGCATCAAGTGTGCACAAGCCCTAGATAAAAGAAAACCTGAAACTGCTGTGTACGTATGAGAAGAACAGGAACAATTCTCAACATTGGCAGGATAAATGAAATTAGCATCTGTCCGCCAGAATTAATATTTATACAGCACTAACAGTACAACACTTACTTGAAAATAAAATCAGCGTTTGGCTGAAATGCTCAGACTTGAATACCTGACATGAGGTGTCTGATTTTGTGTTTGGACAACTGAAAAAGAGATCCTGGTTGTTGTTGTTTTTGTACAGACACTGAAAAGCGGCTGCTCTTAACAGCTTCCGAGGGAGTTCTCAGTGCTTAGCTGCTCTCCAAATCATGCCACTTGCACAGACAACAGGCTGCAGACACTTCAGCATGCAAATCTCAGCCAGGGTCCTTGGTCAGACTGTTGATAATCCAATCACTGTGTCCAAAATCAGAGGCAAATATCCTGATGTGTTTGGCAAAGTTCAGTGAGTCGATCTGCTGATCCCGGGTCTGTGTCCAAGGCTCCTGCAGGCCACAAGGTGACATGGGGTCTTGCTGATGGCTGCTGCCTTCCACCTTCTGCATCTTCAGTTTGTTTCCTATCCCCCTTCCAGGGTCCGGCGGGAGTCCGTGGTGCACCAGGGATACGAGGGACGAAAGGCCGCAGGGTAAGTACTTCTGTGAGCTCTTACCCCTCTCTTCCTTCAGTGGCAGCCTGGTAGAGCAGTGCCTGAGCATGAAGATGAGCAGCAGTGGGGGCACAGGCAGGTTTCTGCTGTGTAGGACAACTGCTCTATTTGAAGCAAATGTAACCAGGAACATGAATGTGAGTCATGGGCATGGGCAGAGAGGGGTGTCCAAGCATAGCGCTCCTGCGGAAGACATCCAGCTTGTGTTTTCCAACCAGCTGCGTGCTAAACAGGCATTAGGGACACTTCTGGTTAGGATGGTGAAGGTTTAGTCTGACGAGGGCAGATCTGAGCTGAAGAAAAGGGAGTAGTTTGAAGGCTAGAAAAGGTGTCTGTTGCAACGGGACAGAGAGCAGCTGAGATGTTGAAGTGCTGTGATTTAACTGGAGCTGGTTAAAGCAGGAAATGGAATTAAGAGATGAAGCACTCAGAAATGGAGCTGACGGGGTGCTTGGCAGCCTGTTCTTCCCATGCTTCCCATTTCCATCTCGTCAGCCGTGTACCTTTTGGCAAAGTTCTGCAGGCTTGTGGGAAAGGTGTGTTTTTGTGTTTTGGATGGAGCAAATTACAGCATGTCCTGTGTCCTCCCATGTGTTTGTCCAGCCAGTAACACTAGTCCCTGGTTTTTATCTCTAGATTTAAACAGTACCACACTGCTAAAGTATGCATGAGTCCCTGTCCTGCCTTGAGACAGCAGCAGGGCCCCGGCCTGGCACTGACTCCCGGTACTAGCTGGCATCACTTGCAGCCGTTCAAGTTCATGACACTTCCCAGGCACCTGGTGCAGTTCCTCTTGCTCTGCTCGAGTGAGAGCTGATGTTGGAATTAGCTCTAGCCCCGCTAAAGCTGCTTGCTTTCCTGACTGTGATATCCAGCCTGTGTCCCACTGAGCTCCTCAGTCTTGAGCAGGACATTTACTGCAAGAGCATCTCTGTGAAGCAGAGATCTGTTTTTCCTTGCACAGCTGGTTTCTAAAGCAGTAATAGTGAGTTCACGTGGGTTTGGATGGAGGCCTCAGAAACAACATATTTTGCATTTCTCCCTCCAAGGACCTTATAAGATTTATTTCCATATTACATTTTCAAAGATCTGGGCTGGAGTGAACTATACATTTTACCTATCCCCATTCTACATTTTTACCACAAGTCCTGCTTGGGGAATTCAGGGCAGCCAAGGATTGCATATGTTTCTGTATACTAAAACTAATACTCTCTTCAAATAGCTGGGGCAGGGTGAAAGGAAATGGAATAACCAACTAGAAAGCTTTATGACCACAGAGTTATGTACCCTGGAACTGTTCTGGGCTTTCAAAGCACAGCTAGAAGGACACTGAAAACATCCGAGCCTGGCAGATGTGTATCAAGATCCAGTTTTAACTCGTGGCTGGATAAAAACAGCTTCCTTGCTGTTGTTCCCCGTGGTGGGAAGGCTCATGGCTGTCGCTCCCCAGCTCCACTCTCTGAAGGTCCCTTTGGGGGTTGAGGTTTCTTCGTGTTACACAGCAGCAATTAATTGAGCAATTCGGGATATCCATGAGCAGGATGGATAAGAAACTGGAGATGATCTTTCACAGGAGGTTTTGAATGAAATGGGGAAATATCTCAAGGTAGAACTACAGCACAGAGATGAACAGGAAATGGCTTCTGAATGAATCCCAGGCTGCCAAATGTGTGGGCTCCGAGAGGTGCGTCCTTGGAGAACACCAGATATTGCTGCCCGTGTCTTCAATGTGTGCAGTGACAGAGCCAGAGTCCCAGCATGGCCTTCTCCCAGCTGCCAGCCTGGGATGCCAGCTGTGTCCCCTGCCACCAGGCCCGTCCTACCGGCAGGCAGCCATGCACCACCATAGGGTTTGTTCCTGAGTTGTGAGGGATTCACTCTCACAGATCCTCTGGGGATTCTGGCCTCTGTGTTGGCCTACGGCCCCCCGAGCCACAAGGAGTGTTCAGCTGACTAGCCCATTTTCAGCTCCACTCATACTGTCAGGACTGCTGCAAGAGATATTTATTTTCACCCAAGGTAAAACACTAAGAGCAAAGGTGGATTCAGCTCCTGAGAAGGGAATTTGGCCTGCACAGCAGGGACCTGAGTTTGAGTGTAGGCAGAGTCAGAGAGAAGGTGCTGATCCCTCAGGAGCAATCCCATCAGCGAGTCTATCCCCAAGGTGACAAACCACACGTTGGAGAAGATGGCCTTGGGTGGCATTTCCTCTTCAGGTACTGAGTGCAGCAGACCAGTCATTCCCCCTGCATATTCCTGAATCAAGGAAGCCCACGTTTCCAGCCCGCTCCTGGAAACAGAGTGGTGTTTGTATTCTGACCTCTCTTGCATTTTCTTTCTCCCACCTCCATACTCTCAGAAGACTTTTTAGACTTGTAGGATTCTTTGTTTGCTCAGTCTGTCTCCTGTTCAGACTCTTGGTTTTCTCAGTGTGGGGAAATGATTCCCCCCAACTGTAATTTCAGACATTACCCTTTGCAACATTCTGTCTACTCCAGTTTACAAAAGGGACATAATTCAATTCAGAGTGGAAACATTAAGGCAGGCTCCACCAGATGTTTGTGGATTCCATGGGCTATGTTTGTGGATACTTCGTTAAAGCAATTTCACTTTTGGAGAAAACGTAAATAGCAAATATGGTTTTGATTGTAAAGAACAATAGATTCTTTTGGGGGGTCTGTATTTAAGATGTGATAGCTTTTGTGTTGTCAAGATATAAGTATAAATTTTAAGAAGAAAACTCTAAAAATTGTAACTTTTCCATTATGACAAGGCAGACAGTGTTCCTTCCTTTCTGTTTAGCCTGTCAAACTGATACTGAACAATCTTTGTGAACCAAAGTCATTCTCTTCTGTCCTCTTCCCTAAGGACAGGAAACTTGGATATGTGACTTGTAGGCTTGTTTCTCTTCATCCTTGTTCAGCATAGCACTTAGTCATGAGCGTAATGTTCAGCTAATGACAGTTATGCACATGATTAAACCTAATTGTTTAACTGAATCCAGGTTTAAATTTGGAGACAGCTGATGCTGCCAGTGCCTTCTCCTGCGCCATTTCTTTCCCTGCGCATACTGTCCCCATACAGAAAGCCTGCAAGCTGATTTCCCACCCAAGTGTTTGAAAATCTTGGAGAGAAAGCAGGGAGATCCCTGTCCCCAAGGGCAGCAGGACAGCTGGCACACGACCATGAGGAGAGCTTTGGATTGCTTCTGGTTGGAAACATGACTCCATTTATGTTCTCTAGAACTGATTTACACTGGCAGATAGTGACACATAACTGAAGGCACCGTGTTTGATGGACAGTATTGCTGAGGGCGCTGACAGTCAGGCAAGACTGGTGGGTGATGCAGGAGTGAGGAGCCTCCTGATGTTTGGCAACTTTCCTGAGGGTGTCTGTCTTCACAAAAGTTGATTCTCGTCCCAACCTATTGCTACTTCACAGCTTCCCTGAGTTGTCTTTGCGCAAAATAGTCCTCCCAGTGACAGCCTCCAAGTCTGTGACCTGCTGAAGACTCCTCCTCACACCATCAGGGCTACCTCCCAGGCACTCCAGGCCAGTGTGAGGAAAAACAAATCCTACTTTGAAAATGAATCATCCAAGCAGAGCATTCACAATATATTCAACAGCTCATTTTGTTAATCAGCTCCTCACATCAGGAACAGGCCTGGCCTCCAGCATCTCTGACATAAGCTCAGCCCAGATACTGGCTGAGAATCCCCACAGAAGGCCAAATATCCACCAGAGCCATGCTTGTACCACGCACATTGCAAAGCCCCGCTTGACGTCTTTCCAACAATGCTGCCCTGTCCTTCTGGCCAAAGTGCTATCAATATTTCTGGGATTTTATCTTCTTGCTGGAAGGGATGCGATGAACTGGCTCAGGTGACTCAGAAGAGCTTTGCAAAACCCTTGAACATGTTTCTGTCTTCCCTTGTGCTGCCGGGTCATCAAGCTCTTGCATAAACTGCTGTCCAGATAAAACCTGTGAGACAAGATACCGCGTGCGCGTCTGCACTCCCGGCCGTCCGCGTTCAGTCTGGGCACGGGACCGCTGCCTGTCTGACACGAGATGTGGTGCTTTGCAGCCACACTGCAAGGATTTGGAAACTCGAGGAATTTGTGAAGTGGAGTTATCTACGCACACCTGAAATTAGTTGCCTATGCCAGGATGATTGAGAAGTTGTTCATGGAGAAAAAGCAGAGGTATATTTTTTGCTCACAGGGATCTTTCTTGGCTGAAAAAGCCTTAGAAGTGTTTGAGGAAAAGTTAGCTACAGCCTTCTAAGATCATGGAAGTGAGTGAGTGTATTGGAAGGCAATCCCCTAAACTCCTTTAAGCAAAGGAAATTATTTTGATTTCCCATGGCCCGTGTATTGCATCCTTTGGAATATCTCTGTGCAGTTTCTGTAAGATGTCTTTGTTCCTTACTAGGCATTTCTAAGCATGAAATCTATATGAGGACTTTAAATTCAGACACTGAAACCTCAGACTTAGTGTGTCTGAATCTGTTTGACCAGTTCATGTGTTGGACATGCCAAAAGGGCAAGGATGTGGCCAGCAGCAGAGCTTTATAGAAAGGAGCTGTTGACTGCTTGTTTGTGCTCCTGGTATTTCAGGGGTTGCTACTGGCTCCCTTTAAGCTCTGTATCCTGTATCCCTTTCAACAGGGATACAGGCAAACTACAGCACTGCTTTGTGGAAACACCTCATGGAGTATTTAGCTCTATCCTGCAGGAATGTTATCTATGTTATCATTAGGGAATGCCTCTCCTGACTTAAAGCGGCCAGCAATAAACCTGAGCTGCGTAGCCTGGAGCTGAATTCCCCTATGTGAGATGAGATGTTCGCATCTAGCCAAAATGGGAACTGTGTTTAGTCTAGGATTGCTGATAGTGCTGCGCAGTAGTGGATGTCTCTGAGGGTTAGGTGACAATATTACTGCACTGTGGCTTGTTTTGCTGCCATTCCTGGAGCCTATATTTAAAAGAGACTAGTCATTTCGAAGGCAGAATGTGACTGCAGGTGAGACTTGCAAGGACCTGCACTGGCCTTCTGCTGTGTGGCTCAGTGAGGACCCGTGCAGGGATTACAGAGAGAAAGGTGCCCACATAGGGCACTGAAACTAGAACTTTAAAAGTGCAGGAGCGTGATGGTGCCTGGCTTTGCATAGCCTTGAGGGTGTCTCTTCTTGTGCCTTTGGGAAGGTTACACTGAGATGGGCATGCAATGCTTTTGAGTTGCCAGTTCATACCCAACTCGGGTAAAGCAGGTTCTCAAATGCTCCATCAGCCACAGACCTGTGACCCCCCAGCTGCCCGTGTGCACAGGGGAGGTCAGATCTTGATTTAAGCCCCCTTTATTCCTGCTTACTTTGCAAAGCTTCTCAGAGCTTGCACTGTTTGTACAGCTCTGGCCCAGCAGGACCTTTCATGAGCTGCATAACAGCCTTAGAAATACTAACAAAAACTAGGGGGTGGGGAAAAAGAAAAAAAAAGCTTCCATCTCTGTTTCAAGGTCCCCTAGTGATGCTGACAGCAGCGATAAACCCATGTTTTTTTGCCTCAATCTCCTTACCCCACTCTTTGGATGGGTCTGTTCAGTGGCTGCCTTTAGGAGCGTGGTCCCTGAGAGGACCCTGCGCGTGCCCTGGTCCCTCAGCCCTGCTCCGTGCAGGAGTGCCCAGACGGTCACTCAGTTTGGAAGCCCCAAGAAGCCCAGGGGGGTCAGGGGAGGTATGGGCCAGTGAGGCCAAGAGCCGGGGTCCACAGGAGGGACGCGTCGGGCTGCTCATTGCAGGCATGGGTGTGTCCTTGGAGCGCTGCCAGGACCTCGCTCATCTCTAACTGGCTTTGTCAGTCAAAGAGCATTTAAAAGATTTAACTAATTGGCTAAACGTAGCCTTTCTTGTCAGGCTGGATTAGGGGAATGCTTTAATCCGGGTTCTAGCCCAGGAGGCTGGGGAAGATGAAGCTTGCACCATGCATTGGTGAGCGCAGGGTCACTTTCTCCTCCTTCAGTTGGCCGCTGCTGAGATGGGCTGTGATGGGATTAGTTAGGAGACTGCTGTGAAGCGGGGTTGCCCTGGCAGATCCTGTGATGCTGGTGACAGGGCCCTGCTGGAGGAAAACGTGGATACTGCAAACACTGCCCAGGCAGCCCTGACAGGCCGGGCTGCAGGGAGGTGAGGCCTTTGCCGCCTTTGCTGCCTCCATCGAGTCCAGAGAGGTCCAGCACTGCTGACAGAGAGATTGGACAGGAGCACAGCTGGATGGGCTCATCTTGCCCTTCCATGCTTGGGCTCTGATGTGCCCCTCAAACGAGCCCTGGTGCTAGAGGAGAGCAGGAGTTCCTCACGTTCGGAGCCTGTGCCCAGCACGGCCCTGCGTGGCCTGGTGAAATGGTTGTGGTGCCCAGCCTAGGCCTGGAGGAGAGCACAGGGACTGCCCACCTGAGTTGCTCCTTGGACTGACCCGTTTGTCT